AAAAAAAAAAAAAAAAAAAAAAAAAAAAAAAAAAAAAAAAAAAAAATTTAATAATTCATTCATCATATTATAATTAACGTAATGGCTCAATCTCCTCCTAATGAAATCTTACAAGAGATTTTTAAGTATATTGTTAATGATATTGATCATTTACATTCGTGTCTTTTGGTCAATAAAATTTGGTGTTCTAATGTCGTTCCAATTTTATGGAATCGTCCTTTTCATTTATTATTACTTCATAATAATCATTTATCTCATCAAATAATTTCTACTTATCTCTCTTGTTTGGATAAAGATGAAAGATCTAAATTAGATCTAAATGGAATTACAAGATCTTTATCTTCTTCTTCCTCTTGTTCTTCCGATTCTTCCTTTTCTTTCTCCCCTTCTTCCTCCAATTTTGAATTACCTTTATCTTCATATCCTATAATTCCTTCTCGTCCTCCAACTCATAATTATCCTTCTTTCTTACGTCATTTATCATATTTCTCTTTTGTGGCTTCTATACAAGAATGGTGCGCTGTACATAATAATTGGAATCCTTATGCTATACGTAAAATTGTTCAAGCTTTATTCCGTCTTTTCGCGAAATTTTCTCCAAGTTTAGAAACTTTGGTTTTTGTGATGGATATGGATAATATTACAAATGGTTTAATGTTATTTGATGATAATTATCATGATTTTAATGGTACCCTTGTTACAAAAAGAAATTTATCCATCTTACGTGAATCTATCGTACGTAATTGGATTTCACATATTAAAGAAATTGAATTGGCTGGAGATTTTGTTATTGATCAAAATTTTCCCGTTTTGTTGACAATTTGTAAAGATTTGAAAAAAGTAAGTAATATTTAATAATATACTCTATATATATAATAAAATAATTAAACATAAAATAAATAAATTTATATATATATAATTTCAGATGGAAATCAGGTTACCTGATTTTGAATACGATGAAGATGGAAAACATTATGACTCCAGCGTAGAAATGTCTGCTAGATTCATTGAATTACAAAGAGATCTTAAACATTTTACTCTTCGTGAATCACATTATCCAAGAGCCATTGGAGTCGCTTTAAAACGTCAAAAATCTTCTTTACGTCATGTAGAATTCATTGACACCGTATTTGATGAATGGTGCCCATTGGATTGGATTCCATATTGTAAACGATTGGAATCTTTAACTTTTATTGATTCTGAAATGTTAATTGCAAAGATTTTAACTCCACTTCGATTATCACCTTTAACTCAACTTAAATCTTTGACATTTAAAGAAGATCCTGTTCCAATTGATATTTTAGAAACTCTTATTCATTCATGTAATATCAATTTAAGAGAGATCGTATTTGGTTGGCCTGAAGATTGTAAACAAGATGGTTACTCATTTATTTTAAATTCCATTTCAAATTTTTGTCCAAATTTAACAAAATTGGGAGCTACCATTGGTCGTAATGAAATTCCTGAATTATTTCTCATATTAAGTAATTGTAGACATTTACAACGTTTAGAGATTTATGGTAATGGATGTTTGTTAGACGTTAATGAAATTTTACCTGAATTGGGTAAATATCTTCCTCCTACATTAGGTGAATTGGATATTGGAGCGAGATGGAGATTTAGATCCGATATTTTGGCCCGTTTCTTTGGAAATTCCAAACATGTTCCTTTATACAAATTTGTTATTCAAATTTGTGACTTTATTAATGAAGAACATCTTAGAGTGATCGTAAGACATTCTATGAGTTCTTTAAAATATTTTACTTTTTGGGATAGAAATTTTTCTGTTACTCAAGAGGGAATGGTGAAGGCAAGCGAATGGTTGAGGAAATCAGTCGCTTAATTTTTTTTTTATATATATATAAAGGTTTTTTTGGGTTTATGGTTTGTGGGTTTGTGGGTTTTTAGAGTTTAGATTTCTTTCTTTTTTTTCTTTTTATCTTCTCTTTTTTTTTTAATTAACGAATTAACGGTATGTATATATTATAATAATGGGTACTTATTGAGAGTGTTATTTATTCCTACTTTTATTTCTTTTTTTTCTGGTAAGAGCATATATAATTTATATGCAAAAAAATATAATTTTTTTTTTCTAAAAAATGATTTTGCTTTGGGCAAGGTAAAATCACTAAGATTTCTGAGGGCAAAAAATATATTAATAATTTTTATATAGAAAGGTGAAATATTTTATTTATTTTTTTTTCACCTTTATTATCAAATTTTATTTTCTCTTTTTTTTTTTTTTTTTTTTTTTTTTTTTTTTTTTTCTTTTTTTTTATTT